ATGAGTAGGTAGGTCAAAAAAAAAAGAACAGGTCGTCTTGACCAGATATTAAACTAATTAATTAATTAATTATATATCCGTCCAATGGCAATAATTATTTTACAATTACCTGAGGAATACGAAGCTATCTTTAAAATATCTACGTTTTAGTAAATATATTTACTAGACTGTTTTTCTATAAATATGTAATAAATTTATTATATATTTATTTATTAAAGGTGCATATCTTTATATTAAACATTTAATATATTTAAACCTTTAATGTATATTATCTGGAAGTAAATCTTATGCACGTGTATTTCCACCCTAACACAATAAACAAAGTATAGTATTAGGCATTTTAGCTAAGGAGTTTCTTAGAAGTTTGGCTGACAAAAGCAGTGCCCATTGTGTTTTTTTGTATAAATAAAACGTAAGTGATTTATGTGTTTCGTGAAGTGAATTATAGTGAAAAATGTGGAATGTTGATAACAAATTTAAAAAATGTTAATGTTTTATAACTGTAAACATTTTTATAAATAAATATTAATTGTACTACTATACTGTGTTTTATTGTACCATAATAATGTGCATTATTATGTAAATTTTTTTAGATTTTTGACAGACTCTCAAAACAACGTTATGGAGCCCTTTTTCTTATAATTTTAGGCATGGAATGAAGAATATAATATTTGCAAGGCGTGTTTGCATCAAGTAGAAATAGCCACATTATTAAGAGACCTTTGTCTTCAAAATCAGGCCATCAGACTTACGTACATTAAGAACGAACAGCCCGCGACTGACGATGGCAAAACTATTTACAGTAACGTCGTTCTAGTGAAAGAAATAAAACCTGTAAATGAAATAGACGACTATCAAACAAAGGAAGTTTCTGACGATTTCGGGATGGAGAAGGATGCAAACGATTATGAAGAAGAACCTTCGAGATTGTCCGATTCGAGTGAAGACAGTGACTACGATGATTGGCCACCGTCGCCCATCTCGCAAAAGAAGAAGAGAAAAAAGAAATCTGCTGAAAAAGAAGGGGGAACAACATCAACAGCCAAAAAGGAGCCTAAAAAAACTCGTACTAAATACAACAGTTTTGACTGTGACATCTGCAATGAACACTTTACAAAATTAAAGGATTTTACCGATCACTCCGTGAACGAGCACAACCTAGATGCCCAGACGTTAAAACCATACAAATGTCCCCAGTGTAACAGCAGGTTTTCTGCCTCATGTTACCTTCTACGTCACTCCCGAGTCCACGAACAAAAGAGGAGTCACATCTGCACTTACTGCGGAAAAGGTTACATCCATCGTGGCAATCTGAAACTCCACGAGAAGGAGCACTTAAACAAGAGGGAGTACCAGTGTGACAGTTGTCCAAAGAGTTTCAACACCTTTCCTCATCTCAGATCCCACAAACTTGTTGTACACACTGACAAGAACCTCTGGAAATACATTTGTCCCTATTGTGACAGAAGATTCCCGATAAAGACGAACTACGATCAGCACGTAAGGAGACACATCGGAGAGAGGAACTTTTCGTGTCATCTTTGCGATAAGACCTTCATTGAGAACGCGAATTTAAAACGCCACTTAACCACGCATACGAACGTACGCGCGCATAAGTGCGATCATTGTCCGAAGGAGTTTAAGCTGAAGAAGGTTCTTAGGATTCATATGGCTAAGGCTCATGGTATAGGCGAGTACAAGATACCGGTTATTGTTAAAAAACATGAATGCACTGTTTGTGGCAAGAAGTTCGTTGCCAAGAACAAACTGAGCAGGCACATGTGCACCCATACGGGAGAAAGGCCCTTTCCATGTACCATGTGCGATAAAAGGTTCACGGATGGGTCGTATGTGACACAACATTTGAAAACTGTGCATGGAATTGTCAGCCAAGATTAGTATTTACAATAAGTGTATTATATTTTTCATACAGTACGTTATTATAACTTATATTCTGTTATCAAATATACAGAGGGTGTTCACTGTAACTTGTGTAAAAAAATGTGAGTAATTGATGGTACAAAAGTTGGAATATTTGATGAATATTTTCTTTAGGAATCAGTCAAATAATTTTCAGAATATTTAATTTTTTTGCATTATTTACAAAACACCCTACTTAGATCTTTTTTCATTCGTAATTTGTTTGTTAATATTAATTGCTTCTTCGCCATGAAGCATAAATAAAGAGGCATTATGATAAATTTAAACCTTAATAAGATGTGTACTTACAATCACTGACTACAATAAATAACAAATAATTATACGTATGTAAATTATCTTATACAATGCCTATTGTATGCCCGTGTAAATTTATTTTATGTATTTATAAATTAATGTATTCTTAGATTTAAAAAGTGAAATTAAGATGTCTTAAAGGATAATTAAATAAGGCTTTAAAAATTTAAATCTAGGTGAAATTATTGATTTTAAAAATTATTATTAATCGTAGTTTTAGTTAGAAATATCTTATTATACATATACCTATACTTTAATAAAAAAATATTCAATAAATCCTTTGTTTTAAACGAAAACTAAGATGGGTCGTAAAAATTGAGGTGGAATCAGAATTCAAAATATATCGGTAATAATCAATTATCACATAATTAACAAGAAAAAAAATGAAAAGTAGTTTAATATTTACAGTAAAGTACCTAAATCTTTCAACTTTGAGAGATGTTTTTTCTATTTTAATTCCAGAAATGGGAGGACGAGTTTTACATTTGCAAGGCATGTCTAAACCAAGTGGAAATTGCCAATTTGTTGAGAGATCTCTGCCTTCATAACCAGGCCGTGCGTTTAATGAATGTCAAAAGCGAAACTAATTCTGTGGATTTCCCCGCCACACCGTTCGAACAGAAGACTGACTATGACAACGTCACTGTGGTCCAGGAGTCTAAGGCAGCGGTGGAGACAACGGACGAATGGACCGGTGAAGGCAACGATTGCAATGATTCAACGAAAGCAACCGATTCTAGTGAAGACAGAGACTCCAGTGACGACGAAGATTGGCCTCCACCCTCGTCCATACCCAAGAAAAAACCAGGCCGAAGGGGAAGAAGAAAACTGTCGGAAAAGGACAGTCAATCTAAAATCAAGAAGGAACCTAAACAATCACGGGTGAAATACAACAGCTTCGACTGCGAAATCTGCAACACAAATTTCACCAACGTAAAAGACTTCACCGAGCATTCAGTCATCGACCACAATTTGGATGCAAAAACTCTAAAACCTTACAAATGTTCCCAGTGCAACAACAAATTTTCCGCCTCCTATCACCTCCTCCGTCACACGCGTGCCCACGAGCAAAAGCGGAGCCACATCTGTACGTACTGCGGCAAAGGTTACATCCACCGTTGCGACCTGATTCTGCACGAAAAAGAGCACCTCAACAAACGAGAGTATCAATGCGACAGTTGTCCAAAAAACTTCAACACGTATCCCCACCTCAGATCGCACAAGATCGTCGTTCACACCGACAGAAGCCTCTGGAAGTTCATATGTCCCCATTGCGAACGCAGATTCCCGATTAAAGCCAACTACGATAGGCACGTGCGCAGGCACACGGGGGAGAAGCACTACTCGTGCCATCTATGCGAAAAACAGTTCGGCGAAAACGCTTACTTGCAGCGACATCTCATATCGCACTCGAACGTACGCGCGCACAAATGCGACCATTGCACGAAGGAGTTCAAACTGAAGAAGGTCCTCAGGCTACACATGGCCAAAGTGCACGGCATTGGTGATTACAAGATACCGGTCATCGTTAAGAAGCACGAGTGCACAATATGTGGGAAGAAGTTTTGCGCGAAAGACAAACTAAGTAGGCACATGTGCACTCACACCGGGGAAAAACCGTTCCCGTGTCCCATGTGTGACAAGAGGTTCACGGACCGATCTTATGTTACACAACATTTGAAAACGGTCCATACCATCAAGAACGAAGACATAAAAGATTTTAGTGCCATGCTTTAGCTGTTGTAAGAACAAGGGGAGAATGCGAAAGCCCGTTGTGACTGTGAACTTTTTAGTAAGACATGACAAAGAAATACGTTATTGTTTAAGAAATGGGTTTAGTACAGAGTACATGACAACAATGAAGGGGTAGTATAGCAGATAGTGGTAGCAGTAAATATGAATGGTAGAATGTGCACTGTTAACGTTGCTACGACTACTGCAAAAACAAACTGAATCAATCAATCAATTATTTTGAATTCAAATTGGTGACCTTAAATTCATAGCGATCGCAGTGCTCTCTGCTTAATAATTTAATTATATCGAAATTGGATTCCCTATCTAGTTTTCATGCTACTATCTATGCCACGAGGTGAAAGTAAAGGATAACGAACATAAGAACATTGGTTATTTATTAATTAGCCGCAGGATCGCCTTGCCTGTATTTACTTTATAGCTAGATAGAGAATGCGCAGTCCCTTGACGCAGTCCATTCTCTATATCTATGATTTGTTGTTAGATCTGTTATGTTCGTGACGTCACCGGGCGATCCATGTTCCACTTTTTGGTGGGATTTTTAAATTAAACGTTTTCTTTATTCAAAGAGGCATGTACCCTATTGTGTTAAAAAATTTTTCTTCTAAAGGTATGTTTTTGTAAAAACGAGTACACCCATATACAAACCGCTATTAATGTATGTTTTTAAATTAGGTTGGACGTACTTTTCATGCTTTTATAATATTGTAATCACATTTTTATGATATTATTTTGTATTATTTCTAAATAATAAATGTAATACTTTTGTGAACTAAGTTAATAATCGTATTTTATGTAAACGAAAAATTAAAAAATTAAGTAATGTAGGATTATGTTGTTAAACATGTTAAAAATTACAAGATTGTAAATTTTAGACACTTGAATTTTTGTATAAATAGTACTTAAACCTTAGCAAAGTATAATTTCTTCAACCGGATAGAAATCTTCTTCACGGTAATTACAATTTATTTTGCAATAAAGAGTATATTAAGTTTTTTTTTATATAAATTCGTTTGTTTATTTAATTCTCATAATTCAACCCCTGTAGCAGACCTAAAGGTAAGTTAGGGAGACTACTTTTTAGAAAAACATTTAAAGAATTCTTTTCATGAACTAACTAGCGCCATCTACAGACGTTCCGGAGACTCATCGAAGCACTATTAGTGCAACTGACCGCTAGATTGCGCTATCGTTATCAATGGAAATATCTAAATTTTTTTGTTCGCATCCTGAAAACGTACGCCGAGCATAAAAAGGACCTGTTTAAGATATCCTTAAAATCGAAGAGGAATATTTTTTAACATCCTATGGATAAATAGGTGTTGTATCGTTAGTATTTATTATTAGTATTATTATTATTGATTTAGTAAGGTTTCCTCCTATAGATAATTGCATTATCCTTTTTTACAGATTCTCTAATCAGACATAAATGTACATTGTACACTGTACGGTCATTCTTCAGATACTTTCAGTACGACCTATGTAGTTGGACTGTTTTTTTACAAATAAGAACCTATACAATATTTTTATCATTTCTGAAAATTTATAAGTTAAATAAATATTTCTTGCTTTTGTATTGAATGCAAAAAAGGTTATGCAATTCAGTTACTTTTCCTTTGAAAAAAAGAAAAAACAAGATAAACAATTAAGAATTAATAAATTTTAATAATTTAAAAACAAATCCGTTATCATAATACCCATATTTATACATGTATCTCAAGTGCATCCAATCTCGATAAGTTGGGGTTTTCCAATAAAAATGAAGATGATTACAGATTAGTTGAACTGGTGTAATGCATTCTTTATATATATTTACTGTTTTCGAAGTAGACAAGACATTATTATTATTACTAGCTGGTTAATTCATTGAAAAATAAAACCCATCAGCAGTTTCAATGTAGCTGTCGTAGGAGTAACGCGCTCTCGCTACTCATTGATAATAATTGTGCTATACGTTCGTGTTTTATTATTTTTTTTATTTTTCTATGTAACGTTCTCTAAAATATAATTATTAGGTTATTTCCTTCCTGTCATTTTCTAAATTGATAACCGTAAATTTAATTAACCTTTTTATTCGGTGACATTTAAATTCTCATTGAAACGATAAATTAACTCAAACACCACGTGGCAAGGCATTCAGGACGAAAATAAAATTTTTAGTGCTGTGAACTGTAGTTGTATTTTTTTTATCATTGCTTGGACCCTATCTTTGTATGTACAGTGAAAGACCTTTGTACGTTATATGTATAGGCATTGTACCTGTGCACTTTGAAAATATGCAACAAACAATGCTCTTCGTTTCAAGAAGTTCATAAATTATTAAAAATATTGGCTAGGAAGCAAAAGGATTTATTTAAGTACTAATTTATGGAGGTGAGTAGTTAATGTACTTATTTAGTTAATCTGTAAAAATTTTCTTCGATATTCCTATACGCATATGTATGGTATGTACCCGTACACGTGATGTAAAATAAATGAAAACAACTGTAGACTTGAATGTGTGAATTGCTAATGCAAATAGGTATAGGTAGTTTAGAATGTCATGATCCTTCAGAAGCGCTAGAGGCAGGTTTTATCGCATTTATATTTTTCATTTTTAAAACACTCTACTAACTTCATTGATAACTGTTATTTTATCAATTCGAATAGTGCCTCGCTATGGGTACACCCAGAGATGGGGTTGGGGCTTCAGATGAACTAGGAAAAGTGACAATTAATGTCGAAATTAATTAACGGGCGGAGTTTTGTCACTGCACAACCCAAAGGCAAGGTTCATGTCATTCTAAATTACCTCTACCTAAACATGAATTAATAAGCTATATGTATATGTATAGAAGATGTAGATGGGTACTATACCTCAAATATTTTTGTAATAGATATTACAATATTTACCTTGAATATTATCTAATAAATTATATCGCTAATTTAATTCTATACGGATTAATTTTTAACATTTTATTTTAAACATTTAAATATTACCTATTCTCTGATAAAAGCTTATACGTGTCTTATCATCCATCACACAGTAAAAATAAATACAGATAAAATTTTCGCGAGTATTTGTTGCAGAAATTTTAGTTTTGTTGTAACATTTAAAAGGTTAAAATGTTAACTATTCGATGGTGATAAATAAAGACCTAGAAAAGTTTGATAAGAAATTTTGAAGAGCGTAAGATCTGTTATATGTAAGGTATATTAAACGTAATGTACAGTAATGGTCAAAAATAACTGAATGATTTCCCCAAATTGATGTTATTGAAAGAGAAAAATAATGCGTTCAATTAACAAAAGCGTAGATGACATCTAGCAAATTGTAATAATAATTTAATACAATCATTTGTTGCTTAAGGTCGTTAATGATTTTTATAAAAGTGATATTTGTCTCTTAATAGTGTGATATTGATTGACCTTTGTTGTTTATATACTGAAAATTGCTTTTATTTCCTATTAAAGAACGTCCTCAAGGTTTTCTCAAACTGAAGTTGATTTTTACGAACGCGATAATGTACATGGTGTCCCAAAAGTAAAGAGAATTTATTATACTTTTAAAATACTAAAATATTCTATATTGTTCAAAAGAAATATATACTCATCAGGAATAGACTCAAGTCTCTCTTGTAAAATTGCACTGATTCTGAGTTAGCGATATTAGGTCGTAAATTTTTTGCAATTTTATAACTATTAACTACATAATTGCTAAATTTCCACTGTGTATTATTTATGTATAAGTACATAACTTATGATTACAATCGCGAGAAAAAGTGAATATCTATTTTACAAGAAAATTTAAACGGGGTTGTGGAACTGAAACGCCAAAACCCAAAATTTTATGGAAAACGTGTTAAAACATTTCGACACCCAAACTCAAGGTATATTTCTCAATTAATGGAAACTAGTTTTTAGTCTTACTTACTAATAGAAACACGAATCATTCTTAGATATAAAGGCTACTTCCGGAAAAAAAAATACTCGGAATAAGAATTATGAAACTATCGCAAGAAAACAATTTCGAATAATTTTTTTAATGTGGTTATTTACCGAGACGTTCAGTACACTGTATGCCGTACGTGTAGTGACTGCATAATCGATGCAAATAAAGACAATTTGCTCTGGTAATTACCAGTGGGGAATCACTTGCATTGCTGATTCAATAATACGAGGAAAACCTTGCAATTTAAATAGTATGCTAATGAATAATTAGCGGTTTTTAACCAAAATGGGACTTTTTACGTATCTACTTCCAACCAGAGATTGAGTACCCGGTTATCCGACAAAACCACTAGTTTTAACTAAACCCTTTCGTTGAAAATCCGTCAACTAAAAATTGAAATTTAAATGGTTTAGTGTTTGAACGACTTTTCTAACGAAGCTTAATGTGGTTTGGGATGTTGGTGAGGGTGGTACTTAATGGAAAAGTCACTTGAACGAAGACAAGAACCATTAATCCTTTCAAACAGTATGTAGGTAGGCATATGAATGTTAAAATATCTTAGGGCAAATGTCTAATGCCTTGATTCTAAAAAAACTAAAAACTTTTGGGTGTTTCATTGCCACCAGTAATGCTGGTGGGCGGGCAGTCCCCCCGGACTATGCCGGAAGGTAGGGCGGAAGGCCCTCTTCAGCCTGCTTTCAGGAATCGTGGGAATGGGTGGGTGGTGGTTCGGGTGAGAAAGATGAGACAGACAAAATGAAGACAGAAGAGAATGAAAGATTATCTGTGGAATATTACTGCCTCAACATTTGCCTAAGTGATTCAAGGAAACCACAGAAAAACTTGGACCAAGGCAGACGGACCAGGAATCGAACCGGTGCCTTCCGAATGCTAAGCAATGGTCTAGACCAGGGATGGCGAATCAATGGCACGCGACACAATATTTTGGGCACGTCACTAATGTTTCTGTCATTGATTCTTTAATCAAGAAATTTTCAGCAAGATTTTCTCACTTCAGAGAATTATCGGAAATACTAATACGAAAGTTTATTATGTACCCTGATGTGATATTTGATAAAATAAATTGAAGAATCAGAAATGCAGCTGATTGATTTCTAGTGTAGTTCAATATAATTCAAAAAGTTGTTGGAACAAGGAAAGAGTTGAGAATTGAAACAGAAAGATCGACGGGTAATACAAGTGAAAATGCTAATAACAAAATTTTGGAAACATGGAATGCGATAACAAACACATTTAATTTTTTGAAAAAGCTGGCATATGATATTTTAATAATGTTTTCATCAACCTATGCCTGCGAGTCATTATTTTCAGAGATTAATAACATCAAAAACTCGCATTTACAAACCGTTTGGTAGATGACTCCAGTTCAGCATGCATTCTGCTAAAATTAACATCTTACAACCCTAACATAAGTTATTTGTCATCTAATCTGCAAAAGCAGAAGTCACACTAATTTTACTTTAATTTAAATTACACGTATAATTTAAACATTGCAAAATGTTCCTATTTTCTTGTAGAATTTTGGGTTGATATTATTTATTATCATTATTTTCCCAATAATCACAGAGACAAAATTATTTGATGGCACGTCCATGACCTGATTAAACTTTTCTTTATAAAAATGGCACGACGGTACTTAAAGGTTCGCCATCCCTGGTCTAGACCTCTAGGCCATGCCGCTCGGTGCCTTGATTCTGGTTTCCTTTCAGTTGAATACCACCACACTCACCAACGTCCCAAACCAATCATTATAAGTTCCGTTTGAAAAATTGTTCAAACAATCGACTAATCAAATTATAGTTCTCGGTTATTAACTAATTTTCAACGAAAAAGCAACATTGTTTATAAACGCTAATAAAAAGTCGTTGGTAAAAGCGATGCCGAACCCTATGAGGTTATACTGACGTCCTCTAGTCCTTTAGAAGGCAAATATACAAATGATACTCGATCTCAACCTTCCAATACTTTACGTTATGCAAATAGTAATAGCAAAATATAGTAAACAC